TCAATAGAATGTGTTTACGTTGTGTTTGCTGATAACTGTTTATAAAAAAAGAGTTTAAAACCACAATTTTCACACCAAAATGAGTCTTTCACCATCAAAGAAATAATAATGTGACATTTATCGTATCGCCCTACAATGGTTCAAATCGCTTCTCTGCAGGTCTGTGTTTTGTTGTGAGCGTTGCAGATAATGTTTGTGTGCGTGTGATCTGAGGTTGTGTGTTTGCTGTCTGAAGCTGCTCCATCAGCATCAGCGCTCAGTGCGACTGACTGACTGCCTACCTGCCCTCCCTGGGAAGCGGTGTCCCATTTCTGCTGCTTTATCCTGCTGCTCCCGCTGCTGGGACAGAGAGAACAAGGGGAGGTTTGTTCACTGCTGCAGGTTCCCCCCCCACACACACACACCACAAACCACCACACTGGACACCACAAACCCACAAACCCACCAACCAACAAGAAATTTAAAAATATCAACTAAATACAGTCTGCTCCTCTAAATACGACTGGTTTAATAAGAAATAAATCAAAGTTACAACCAACCGACATTTATTTTACTTAATAATTCGTCCGGCAATTAGAATAAAGTATCAACAAATAATAGCAAAAGTCACAAATGGCCGTTGAATTTTCCTAAAGTCCAAGTTGACAAATTGAAGTTGCTTGTTCTGTTCAAATGTCATATATCTTTTTTTAAAAGACCACATAAGAGTAATTTGAATCAGTGTAGCTTAAAAGACACATTTCAGCCCAAATCACAACAATTACCTGCTTTAGATAATGTTAATATTTTATTTACTAGCCTTATTAGATCTTCTATCATATGGGAATCGTCATTTAATTAGAGCAAATTCAGTGAACAGTACTGTGCAAAGGTTTGAGTGACTTCAGATTATCATCGATCGCTCGATATCATCCGTGAGGAGTCTGATTCAAAAATTCACTCTGCAGCAGAACATTGAGGCCAAAGGATGAAATAGAACTAGAGTCATAAAGAACCACAGAAGAACGAGGAGTCTGCAGCTGATCTGATCTCAGCATCATGGAGTCAGTCTGAGATCATCTCATGAGGAGACAGATGTCAGGTTCTCTGAGATGCTCTGAACAAACTCCGTCAAGAAGCTTTAAAAACGGCCTTTTCCTGTCGCCTGCATTTTATATGAAGTTATGTGACGAATAAAAACTATTCATGACATCATTTATAAAGCATCCTCGATTACCTCAAACTTCTGCACAGCACTGTAAACATCAAACAATGTTACCTGAAACTTTTTAAATGATAAATACTGATAAATAAAGACATTACATATAAACATTTTAAAAAACAACTCACTTATTTAATTCATCCCATTCAGAGACGTTCACTCGCTCAACACCCCAGGAGAGATGAGCTGAAATCAAACAGAATAAACAAACCCAACACAATTTTAAAGAAGAAGCTGATGTAACTTTTAATTTACGACAATTCAAATCCACTTCACGTCTAATTTATCCGAGTTTAAACAGGAGAGGAGACACTGAGCTGCAGCACAAAGCAACACGAGTCTTCAACCAGGATCTTCATCAGTGTGAGTTTTCTCCTCTTCCTCTCCCCTCAGCTGTTCTCCCTGCAGCCCCTGACTCACCTTGATAAATGAGGACCAGATACACAGCTGACACGCGCAGGAGCCTCTTCCAGCCTCGTGTCAGTGGATACGGATCCATGTGTCGGTCCTGGCTCAGTTCTGTGTGGACAGCATCACCTGGTGAAAACCCTCCGCAGCTTCCTGCTGCTCCACCCGCATCTTCCACCGGCGGCCCCGCGCGCTCTTCAAGAACCGCAGCACCTGCTCATTAACATAAAATATGCTCGGCTGGGCGGGGCCTGGGTCAGGTGTGATGCTGCTGCTGCTGCGCGACGAGGACGATGACGTGACCGGAAACCAGAGATCAGACATGCACGTGAAGACTTTTATGATGAGATCAAATATGAGTCAAAGTTTAATTCAACATGATGAAACTCAGTGAGATGTCATGTGCAGGAGTCATGTGAAACTGCGCCATCCTGTGGTCTACAGGCAGTGGTACATCCCATCAGGTTAAAGGGATAGTTCACTGAAAAATTTAAATTCCCTCATTATCTACTCATCAACTATTAAATTTGAAGTTACTTTACAATTTAAGCTTTTAAATACAAAACATATGAACCCCTTTGAAATTATGATGCACTTGTTTACTCATCGGAGATTTCAGTCTGTGGTTATTTTCTAAAAACAAGTGCAAACATCCATCACTGCAGCATTAGTCTGTTTATTCTTGGAATTTTACATTTCCAGTTATCATAATTATTTTAGAGCTTATTAATCGATAGACCAGAGTGAGCTGATCATCTGTTGTTATTAGTTCTTATCTTGAGATGAAGTGAAATCACATATTATCATGTGGTCTGACACCAGATCAGTGGCTACAATACAGCAAGTAAAGCAAACTCACACTTCTTGATGCAAGATACAGTCAGTCCTTCACTCTTTAGATTATTTTTTAGGTTTTATTGACTGTTAAAACTCTTTTACTTCAGCAATTAGTACATTTGTGTCTGAACAAGCTGTGAAGTATAAAATCAAAATTTTCTCTCCAGCAGATGAATCTTCTCTTCATGTTCATCACCAACAAACGAGGTCAGATGAGGTCGTCGTTCTGAGACTGACGTAAAGCAAATTATACCATTGATCAAAATTATAAAATGAAACAGATTTACTCACAGATGTAAGATCGGAACATGAACAAGAAGTTATTTGACGGATTCTAATCATTTTATTTAACAGGTTGTAAGTTGCTCATTATGGATTAAAGTAACACACAACATCATATCTGGTGAGTATTTAACTTATTTACAAGATTTGATGTGAGGATTATTTTACAGAATGAGTTGTTCCACAGTGAATCCCTGACTCTGGTTTCCTTTGTGTCTGTCCTCCGTCTGCTGCTCAGACCATGACGACCTGAACTGACCCCAAACACATGACCCTCTGATAGAAACCAAGAAACACTAAACTCAGGAGAATAAACCTCAGGTATTCCTGAGGTGACCCCACAGTCACCCTCCTTCTATTTGCATGTGAAAGTCTGGTTCTCCACAGAGGGAACGCTTCCTGTGTCTGTCCGCTTGTCCGTACGTCTGTCTGGGTGAAAAGGCCTTTGACGGACTGCAGCCCTCCGAGACCCCAGCAGGTTTTGTGTGGCCGAGTCAGGAGGTGTCACCTTTCATAAATGGACACTGAACAAGACGGGGGGGGCGGTGGGGATTTCTGATTTCGCCCCCCACTCTAGTTTCTTGTCTGCACATACGTGAAAGCATCTTTCTGAGACACATCAGTGTTTATTTTCAGAAAACATGGCATTTTTACACCGTAGTAACATGTGCACAGACAGTCATTGGACATCACTATGTGTACATTACGTTATTTAATTACAGTACTGCTAATAAACAGTAAAAACTACGGCTTTAACTACTATTGATTTCAAAGTCGGGGGTGTTGAGGTTCTGCCGACTTCCAACTTGAAGGGGGGGGGATCCAGTTGCAATTTCTGAATCGTTGTAATGAAACTCCTCTTGGGAAAATGCATTACTGTTCTGTTCCCCTGCAGAATAAAAACACAACCTATGAAAAGATTATAAGGTTGAATCAACACTTCTCGATTTGTTTTGCTTATATTGCTTTGTAGGCTCAGGTGAGTGAAAGCCTCTTCTCTACCCGTGTGAAAAATTCTAATTTGATTCTGTCTCTGTGAAGTTTCAGACCAAAGACACAGCACGCAAAAGATTATTTACATCTTTAACTCGCCGCTAACATCCATCATCCTGAAACACAGCTGACAGGGATCTGTACAAAATGTTCGTGTGGGTCAACAGGAAAATAATAAACAAGAAAAGCAGGTGCAAAGAAAAAAAACATTCATCTTGCAGAATTTCTAAAACATTGGACATTGTTCACATTGACTTCTGCATTCGTCCAACAAGTAAAACTGAAAAGGCAACAAAGACATGAACATTTAAAGAACAGAGAATCAGTGCTTCAGCATAAAGATGGACGACATGACGGCTTCCAGAAGTGAAGCTGAAGTGTCTCGATCGCCCCTGGTGGAAATGTTTCTGTCATTTTAGCTCCTATCACAACGATGCTTGTTCAAGTGTTCATGATTCTGATAACTTCGGTCCTGATTAGTTATTTGATGAAATCACAATGGGGTGATGGACTATATCGTGGATCCACTGCACGTCATCCATCTTTATTCAAGTCGAAGCTTCAGCCTGATCGAGTTCTCATTCATGATTTTGCAGTGATGAAAAAAAAAAAGTGTAGCGTAGATTTTATAATTTGTTTCTCTAACGAGACGCTCGTCTCTCAGGATGGAAACAGCAGTGAGACAAAAGCAGAATTTGTTTCCATAAAAATCAAATGGCGCATTTAGAAAACTAGAAACTGATAATTGACTGAGACATGAAGCACTTTTAAAAAGAGGAAAATGATTCACCACAAGTCATGAAGTGATTTGTGTCTCAAAGACTCACTGGAATCACTGGGTGAAGATTAACACCAGTCATGTCCTCTCGTTTACAGTCAAAGGCAACTTCTTCCAGACTAAAGAAGATTCGTCACAACATGAAAACAAAAGATTAAAACTTCTCACTATCTACACATCCGGGAATGCATCAATATTTACAGAGTTTTGCTGATGAATGATTGAATTCACTCTCAGAAAGGTCAAAAAAACTGAAAATATTTAAGAATGTGAAGTCTCCGACATTAAATATGTTTTGTTCGTTTGTTCATCTGTTTCTCTTTAGAGCATCAGGCGACAAACAGCGGGACACGATTCATATTTTGTAAAACCGCATTTTAACTTGAAAATTTAATCAGAATGAGCTTCAGAGCTTTGTTTCTTTTCACCGTTTTGATTCATTATAACGACCTCTCAGGTGAAACTACCACAGAGCTCTGCTCAGTGCTTGTGTACGTGTGAACTTGTGGGTCTTTGGGATAGAGTCCTGCACGCTGCCTGGCGTGCTACGTTATCTCGGCCGGTGGTTGGCGAGCAGGAAGTCCTTATCTTTGCAGGTGAGGCAGAGTTTGAGGTTCCTGAGCGAGCCTCCGGCTGAGTAGAACGCCCAGGCGCCCATCAGGAACAAGATAACGTAGGTGGGGACGAGGCTGGCGACATACTCGGGGTTCTGGAATGTCTGCGAGAGAAGATGAGAAAGGGAAATCAACACAGAACTTGAAGATACATCCACCCACACCAGTTTTAAATTAATGTCACAGGCACCTGACCAACAAGAGCAAATATTTGACATGCAGGATGTTACAGTGCCAGCCCTCACACTACTGAACAACACCATCGGCAACACTCACCAGACAAGACACCACAAGGTGACTGATGACGACCGCAGCCACCGCCCACCACCGCTGCTTCTCACAGGCGTCAAAGAAGACGACGCCCCAGAACATGTGAAGCAGGATGATGGCCATGGTCATGAAGGCTGAAATAGGAAAAGTTGGGGTTCTCATCAAATTCACAAAACTAGTCATCGAAGTCTGTGACTGGATTTAACGTTGTGCAGATACAGTGAAATATGCACAGCTGAAAATCTGATATAATTTTAAAATGTGGGAATCTGCACCTGAGGACAGGAAGTAATGCTGTGAGTCTCCGTGGATCCCAATGGTCCCCGGCCCCACAGAGTCAGCCAGGATGTTCACCACTGAGAAGGCTCCACTCATGAAACCAAAACCAAGGCCGGACACTGAAATCAAAGACAACAAGACATCACCCCACATGATATTTGTAACTGACAAATCAACAGATGAATGCAAGAGCTAAAGAAAGAACTTAATGTTCAGTGTTGAACCTTCTCTAATGTGTTTTGTATAGATTCAATTAATCAATGTTAATGTTTAAGTAATTGCACATTAATTTAATATCGCTGTCTCCGTTTTTTTCCTCATACTAAAACAAAGCTTTTCCAAAACTAACATGATTTCCCAAAGCTGCAAAAAGTCAGTGTTGAGTAAAAAATAGATATGAGGAAGTGCAGCGCAGAGACTGTGTGTATACTGTGCAGACTAACTGTACCGTATGCCAGCTGTCTAATGGAGATGGGCATGGTTTCCTCCTGACTGAGAGTGAGGAGGCCTTCATTCGCTTTCCTGCAGGATAACACACACACACACACACACACACACACACACACA